TTAGCCTTTAGTTTATTATAATTAGCTTAATTAACTATATTTTTAGCTAGTATATCTTTAAGCTTAATATTACTATTATAATTACTTTAAGCTTTACTTTTATAATTAATATTATTATTTAAAACTTTAAAGCTTATAAGCTACTAAGTTTTTAGTATTTTATTACTTATAGGTTTAAGGTAACTATTTAAATACAAGTTATTATTATATAATAAACTAGGTTTTATAGGTACTATAAGTTAGCTCTTTTTAAGGGATAAACCTTAGAGTAGTTTTATAATTTATATTAGTAGAGTAATTAAGTTAGTAAATAAGTAATTTTATTACTAGCTAATAATATAAATAAAAGTAAATATTTATATTTTAATTTAATTATATTATAAATACTATAATAATAACTAGTTATTTAAGTATTTTAATAAGTAATATAAAGTAAACTTATATATTTAGTTAACCTAAATTAAATTAATATATAGAATATTAATTTTTCCTTAGATTAATAAATAGTTTATTAATTTACTGTTAAATTAAGAAGTTATATCTTAATCCTTCCTTAATTAATTAAAGAATTAAAGTTAATTCAGTTTAGGCTAACCTATTAGCCTATTATTACAACCTTCAGCTGCTTGCGGCTCAGCATAGTGCAGAAGCTGACGACGGGCGATCGGAAGGGTACGCTTCTAATAGACTGGTAGATTAGTGATATATAGAACCTTTGGATAGCGTAAGCTAGCTTTAAGTCGCGCTTGCCGTTACTATTCTACCCCTTGTCTTCGCTCTCTTTATCCTTATCCCCGTCGCCCTTCTCCTGCTTTCTCTCCTCCTCCCGGAGGGCGTTGAATATTTCGTCCATCGCTTCCCGCTGCCCGTCGGTCGGCTTAATGACATCTCGTGGAAGTGCTTGAGAGCGACGACCTCCTCCTCCACCGCCTCCTCCTCTACTGCCTCCTCCTCCACCGCCTCCTCCTCCACCGCCTCCTCTAACCCCTCCCCTTCCCCCCCCTCCCGGCGTTGTAAAGTACCCGTCTTTGTAATACACTACCCTATAGTAGTACACCAGTAGCTTTTTTATCTTTGTAAAATATCCCGTTAGCGCTAATGGAGTTTTAAAGCTGCGGAAGGGCGTGTTCTTGCCTTTGTTACTGCTATAACCCTATGTAAAGTTACTAAGCATCTGCTCCCGCTAGCGTATTATCTTCCAGTCTAGCGATCTATCTGCCACTAGTCTATAGGTACTTTAGAAAAAGGCCTCCGCTACAGCTAGTATATGCTTAAGATTATTATTCTTATCCTTCTTATAGCTGTTTTTACTACAAGCACGAGGACTGTAATATCTAGGTCGGTTATTACAGTTATTTCTATTTATGCTTATACTTTTCCAGCTGCTATAGTTTTTCTAGTTAAGCTTATCGTCCTCCCTCTTCTATATATATCTCTTTAAGCGGAATATATCTCTTTTCTACAGTAGCTAGTAAAATAACTTAATTTTATTATCTTAAATCCCCCGTAGGTGCATAGGAAATCCCGTGTAGACCAGCTATAGCTCCCGATCTGCTTAATCCCCGCTGACGTCTTTAATAACCGCTGCGTTATCGTCTAGGTTATACACAGCTTACCGTAAGTCGCCTTTCAGCCCGTTAAAAAGCCTCTCCTTTAGCGGGGATGGCGGCGGCCTTCTTTACGAAGCTAGGTGTACCGTATCTTACCCAGGCGGTGGCGGTAGGCGTGGTAATAACGGCGGCAATATTAAGTCCCTCCCGTTCCCCTGTTTAACGTTAATAGTAAAGTAGTTAATTCATCCCTTTGCCGTAAAGTACATCTGCAGCCTATATACCCTCTATAGCGTTATTAAACCTTCTATATACTAGGATACTGTCTTCTTATACTTAGGTATATAGTTATATATTATATTCAGCTGCCTAGTAATAAAATTATAGTTATTACTATTACATAAGTATATATAGCCAGCGTATTTTACTAGGCCGTTAATCTTTTTATAAGGTAACCTTTTATTTAGCTGCTATTATTATAGCTTATCCTGCCCTTGCAGGCTGTAGGTTAAGAGTAGGTTAACGGTCTTTTGTAGTCCCTCGCCCTTTATATAGTGCGGTTCCCTCCGTAAGTAGTTTTTCTATAACTTCAGTCCTCCTAGCGCCAGACATATTCCACAGACATAGTATACTATTACGCAATGCTCTAGGTTATATATAAAATCGTCAACAGCTATCCTTCTTAAATAATAATATTATTATATATATATATATATATTAAAGGCTATATAATAGTAGTTAAGGAGTACTAATATATATATATATATATAACCCTTTTATTTATCTATATTTATTTTACTACTACTACTATTACTACTGTTACTATTATAAAGTCCTAGGATAGATAATATAATAGGCTTTAGTATATATAACGGATAAATATAATAGGGTAGACTAAACTAAATAATAGGGCTAGATATATAATAATAATAAGACTTCCTTTTCCTTACTTTCTATTTTAGAAAATAAATCTACCTAGAGAGGCCTTAGGGTCTAATTATAATTAACTTTTTTATATAACTCCTTTTTCATACTTCCTATATAAAAGCGTATGAGAATAAAAATTAGCGGGGTGGTATTTAACCCTAAGTCACTTTCCGAGGGCGGCCCGCGCGGAACGATACCTGCTGCTAAGTCGGCAGGGGTTCCCTTCTTACAGCAAAAAGCTTCACCTCCTCGTGGCTAGGTTAATATTTATAGCCCTAAGTAAGATATTAAATCTTTTATTTACTAAAAACTCTAAAATAAACTTATATAATAGTAGCTATATAATAATAAATAGTAAATTATTATAAGTTTAAATATAAATAAAATATAAAAACTCTAAGGAGATTATTAATAAATACCTTAAGATTATTTTTAAATTAACTTTATAAATAATAATTATTATAAGATTTATTAAATAAGCTATATTACTTATTAATATTTATATTATCTAAAGTAGAAAATAAAATATAATATATTTTTATAAAGAAATTTAGTAATTTTAATTATAGATCTATATTATAAAGGATATTATAATAAATAGAAGGATACTTATAAATTTCAGAAACTATATATTATAATTTTTAAATTATACTTAACTATACTAAAAAAATATAGAAATTATAAATAAATTAAGAACTATATAAGTTACTAATATATTATTTACTAAACTAGGAAGATCCTTTAATAGTATAATTAAAATAAAGGAACTAAAGTATATACTTTTGGATAGTATTAATAATATAATAAGCTAGAGTATTTTAAATACTAAGAACTTAAATTAAAGGAATAGTATAATATAGCCTTAGAAGAAAAATAAGTTAAAGGATAATAATTTATAAACTAATTATATAAATTAGGATTTAATTTTAGAACTTATATTAAAGTATTTAATAAACTTCTTTAAAGATACTATAAACTTTAAAAGATATTTAATAATTTATAAAATAATAAAATTACTTATACTATATATATTAAGTAAATAAGACTATACTATAGAGTAGTAGAATAAATTAACTATAAAAATTTATACTATAAGTTATATATATTATATAAAATCGAAGACTAATACTTAAAAAACTAAAATAGTCTTTAGATAAAGGGTATTATAAAATTAATAAAAAATTTATATTTTTTAAAAAAGAATATAAATATAATAATAATAAAGAATAAGGAGTTCTTAAGAAAAAGATTACTTTTATAATAATATAAAATAAAAAACTACTTAAAGTTTTAGTAAACTCTAAGGTAAATAGAAATTATATATTAACTATAATTATAATATATTTATAATTACTATAAATATAAAAGAAAAAACTATATTAACTTTTTTATAAAGAAGGAAAATAGTTTAAATATAATAATAAATAAGTAAAGAAATAAATTAATTACTTATATTTTAAAGTATTTAATTAAATTACTTTAGTAGTATATAATACTATTAATACCCTAAAATATAATATTATCCTAAGTATATTATAGTTATATATTACGACCTGACTCTTAAGGTCGCGATAATAGGCCAATAGGTCGGCCTGGACTAGATTAACTTTAATCCTTTAACTAATTAGGGAAGGATTGAAATATAACTTCTTAATCTAACAGCGGATTAATAAACTATCTATTGATCTAAGGAAGGATTAATATTCTATATATTAATCTAATCTAGGTTAACTAGATATATAAGTTTACTTTATATTACTTATTAGAATACTTAAATAGCTAGTTATTATTACAGCGTTTATAATATAATTAAATTAAAACTTAGATATTTACTTTTATTTATATTACTAGCTGGTGATAAGATTACCTATTTACTAACTTAATTACTCCGCTAATATAAATTATAGAGCTACTTTAAGGTTTATCCCTTAGAAATAGCTAACTTATAAATACCTATAGGACCTGGTTTATTATATAATAATAACTTTTATTTAGACGGTTACCTTAGACCTATAGGTAATAAAATACTAAGAACTTAGCAGCTTATAAGCTTTAGAGTTCTAGATAATAATATTAATTACAAAAGCGAAGCTTAAAGTAATTATAATAGCAATATTAAGCTTAAAAATACATTAGCCGAAAATATAGCTAATTAAGCTAATTATAATAAATTAAAGGCCGAGTTTAAAGCTCTTAAGACCCAGCTTTAGGACCTTTAAGATAGGAAAAAAGAGAAGGGTAAGGTTATTAAACTAACGAAGCCCGAACTCTTTAACAAAGATCTACGTAAAATAAATAAATTCTTCTTAGAACTTATAACTTATTTTAAATACTTCCCTTATACCTTAAAGGATAATAAAAACAGAGTTATCTTTACAGGCAGCTGCCTTATAGAAAATGCTAAAATATAATTCCAACTTATTATATAAAATTATAAAGAAGGAAAGATTAATTTAAAAAAGTTTAAAATATAAACTAAAGAAATTTATACTAAGTATGTAGAATTTTAAAAATAATTTAGAAAGTCTTTTAGTATTATAAATAAATAATAAAAAGCTAAGTAAAAACTTTATTTTATTACTTAAAAAAGATTACTAAGTAAGTATACTTTAACTTTCTTATGCTTATTAACTAAAGTTAATTAAACTAAGGAAATAAAAAAGGAAGTTTATTATAATAGTATAAAACCTAAAGTTAAGGATAAACTTTTTAAAATTAATTATAAAAAAATAACCTTTACTAACTATATTTAAAAAGCTATTAAAATTAATAATTATAATTAAAAATAATAAAAAGAATAAAAGTAAAAAAAGAATAGGAACTTCTATAATATTTAACTTAAGTAAACTTAAGAATACTAAGCTAACTAAGGAAAAAAGTAAAATAATTATATTACTTTTTTTAATAATAAATAACTAGGCCTAATAAACCTTAGTATTATTAAGGCTTAACGTAAGAACGTTAAATACTATAATTGCAGAGAAAAAGGATATATAAAAAAGTACTATTAAAAGCCTACTAAAAAAATAGAAAATAAAAAATTCACGCTTATCCTAGAGCCTAAGGAAAACCAAGTTATTAATACTATATAACCCTTAGAAAACTATAATATCTTATACTTCTTAGTATACTATAATAATAACTATTAAACTTATTATAGTAATAAATAAGGATTAAGATAATACCTTAAAGGGTATATATAAACCTTAAATATACTTAAAGAAGTTACCTAGGAAAACCTTAGCTACGTTAAATAACTTATTTAATAAAAACTTAATAAGTAAGAATAAAATAATAAAATTAAGGATAAGGAAGAGGTATTTTAAAAATAAAAATAAAATAAAATTATACGCTAGTATAATAAAGATCTTTTAAA